TGTGTGTGTGTGTGTGTGTGTGTGTGTGTGTGTGTGTGTGTGTGTACATTTTTACTACATCATGGGGATGTAGCCCATCACAGCCTCGTGGAGACCAAAGCCTGGTCCCCACAGGTACAGATGCTGATTTGGGTGGATGGCTAGCCACTGCTAACATGCTAACACTGCTAACAGTGCTAACACTGCTAACCGTGCTGAAGATAACATTTCAAATGTAAATGTGTTGATAAAAACACTGTGGGTGGTCCCGGTGGTCCAGCAGTTTAAAGTGCAGTCAGAACAGCACCTGTGATGTCTTGTAGGGAAGCTTTAGCTCGTTGGAGCGCTACCAGTTTCTATTGTCTCAGAACGATGACATCATAACAGGAGCCAAGCACCAGCAGCAAAGCCTGCAGTCTGGTGGAAGTTCTTCTGGTTTCTTACAGGAAATGTGAACTTTCTGCAGAATAAAGGTTTATTGTTTCTAAACTAAAGCAGCTGTTAGCTTCTCACTCAGAACAGACTCTTCCTGTGAACTCAGCTCGTCTGTTCACAGTTAACGACCTTTCCATGAACAACACACCTGTACTGTTCTGTTGTTTGGAGTCGTGCTCACTKCAGCTCTCTGGCAGGTAAAATGGAAGCTGGTTGGCCTGAGTTCCCAGCATCCATTGCTCTGCTGTCGGACCAGCTGCAGGTGGTCCAGAACTACCCGTCTGCTCGTCGCTGTGAGCTGTGGAACAACAACAGCCTGTCTGCCTACGCCTGGATCAACTGAGCCTGCACCTGTCACCTGTCACCTGTCACCTGTCCACAGCACAGAGTCACTTTGTGTCTGCACACACCTGAGAGGACCGCTGCAGGTTAAAGTTTGTCTCACTGCAGGTGAGCTTTTCTTTTTCATCGGTCTTCATGTAAAACCATGTTTCTGACTGCGGAGGTTTAAAATAGGAAAAAAGTCTTTTTCTATGTGAATACGTGTGATAAGATTAGAGTGTTTCTGTTGTAAGGTGGCAACGTCACAAGGTGATGTTGTTTATCATGTCACCATCTCTAGTAAATAATTTGACACAATAGTTCAGAAAACAGAAAAAAACTGCCTGGGTTGAAAAATTTGACCCAAACAGAAATAAAGACCTGTCTGCAGCAGCAGGAGAGACTAAATGTGGACCTTTACTGGACCTGTTAGACCTCGAACCACCTGTCTCTGTTCACTCGACACTGATGCTCGTATAAAGTCTCGTAGCTGCTCTAGTTTAGCTGCTCTGGTTTAGCTGCTCTAGTTTAGCTGCTCTAGTTTAGCTGCTCTAGTTTAGCTGCTCTGGTTTAGCTGCTCTAGTTTAGCTGCTCTGGTTTAGCTGCTCTAGTTTAGCTGCTCTGGTTCAGCTGCTCTGGTTTAGCTGCTCTAGTTTAGCTGATCTACTTTAGCTGCTCTAGTTTAGCTGCTCTGGTTTAGCTGCTCTAGTTTAGCTGCTCTGGTTTAGCTGCTCTAGTTTAGCTGTTCTAGTTCAGCTGCTCTGGTTTAGCTGCTCTGGTTTAGCTGCTCTGGTTTAGCTGCTCTGGTTTAGTTGCTCTGGTTTAGCTGCTCTAGTTTAGCTGCTCTAGTTTAGTTGCTCTAGTTCAGCTGCTCTGGTTTAGCTGCTCTAGTTTAGCTGATCTAGTTTAGCTGCTCTAGTTTAGCTGCTCTGGTTTAGCTGCTCTAGCTGCTCTGGTTTAGCTGCTCTAGTTTAGCTGCTCTGGTTTAGCTGCTCTGGTTTAGCTGCTCTGGTTTAGCTGCTCTAGTT